TCATTTTTGGCTTGAAATTCACTTTGTCTTCAAATAGAATAGCTACCCCTTTTTTCTGGATTCCTATTACATGGAGTATTATTTTCCATCCTGTGACTTTCAGTCTATGAATTTCTTTTTGAATTAAATGTGTTTCTTGTATGCAGCATATTGTTGGATCTTGCTTCTTGATCCATTCTGCCATGTCTTTTGATTGGTGAATTGAGGCCATTAACATTGATAGTTATAACTAATATGTATGGACTTGTCCTTGTTGTGTTATTTTCCTGTTGTTGGCTCTCCCTATTTCTCCCTCCTGTTTGTTTGCCTTGCCTGGTGGATTCCTTCTGTTGGGGTTCATGGAATTGTAGTCCTTGTTATCTCTTTCTAGGATATCTTTCAAAACATTTGCAAGTGTTGGTTTGGTGGTCATAAATTTCCTCATGATCTTTGTCATGGAAGTATCTTATTTCTCCATCAGTTTTGAAAGATAGTTTTGTGGGGTAAATCAATCTGGGTTGAAGGTTGTTTTCCTTTAGAACTTGAAATACTTCACCCCAAGCTTTCCTTGACTTGAGGCTTTGTGCTGAGAAGTCATCTGTGAATCTTATGGGCTTTCCTTTATGGGTGATTTCTTTTCTGTAACAGCTTTTAAGCTTCTATTCTTGTGTTCAGTTTCTGGAATCTTGACTATGATATGCCTGGCTGTAGATTTTTTTATCATGCCTAATTGGAGTTCTATATGCCTGACTTAACTATCAAATTCTTTTTCTCTACCATGGACATTTTCTGCCATGATGTCTGTGAACAGTTGTTTGTTATACTATTTGTGCCATCTTCTGCTTTTTCATTGGCTCCAATCTTAAGTTCTTCTTTGCCTTTATCTAGCAGCTGCTGTACTGATATCTCATGGTCCCTTGATTATTTTTAAGAAATCTTTCTTTTCATGATTGCTAACTACAAACCTGTCTTTTATATCTGAGATTCTGTCCTCATATTGGCTTAATCTGCTGCAGATACTTTCAATGGAATTTTTATTCTCATGGATATCTGCTTGAATCTACCTTATGGATTCCACTTCTTTCCTATGGCATTCATAGTTGCCATATTTTCTTAAGCTCCTCTCTTTTTTGTCTTTATCTGCTCGAGTCACTAAGCATGGTTTTCATTGTGGACACCATTTCTGCAGTTATCTGAGAAATTATTTCTGATTTGAGTTTTTTAGAGCCTCATTCAATTGATCCATTGTTATCAATTCAGAGAGGCCAAGTGGGTGGCTTTCATATTATCCTTCCTCATTACCCCCCTGGATTTGCATTTGGTGAACTGGATGTCTGGGTTGCATCTTGCTTAAGTGTCTTCTCATTTTCTTTTCTAATTTAATTCCTGGGATGATGCTTGTAAATAGCCTATGGTGGATTGCTCTATTGCTAGTATTTAGAAGTCTTAGGAAATGACTACTTCTTTGAGGTATCTTTCAGGTGTAGCTGGTTTTGGGTTTTGAGACTGTTGCAAGAACCTATCTCTTTAATTTGTTGGAAATGAGAAGTTGCTGCCTGCTTGGCCCAGTCCCTGGTCCTTTGGCACTGCCTCATAGTATTTTCTGTGACCCTTAGTCAATCTCAGTCTTGGAATACTAGAAAGAATAGCTGTTTAGAGCAATTATGCCACTTTTTGCTATAGTGGTACCATCAGCAATGACAATGGCATCAAACAGCCTAGAAAATGACAAAGAGCTAACCATTAATTTGCCACCTTTAATCATATAAACTAGATTTGTAGTTATATAAAACCAGAAAATTATATGCAGTATACAAGTCCTTAATATGTCAATTTTGCCTTTTTTCTCTTTAAAATAAAAAAAATTTAAATAGGTTAGGCAGAAAATAGAGAAGTCGAAGAAGAAAAAGGGAATAGAAGTAAGGCTGGAAGACAAAGAGGGGGGTCATGCTAACTTTGGGAAACTGGTGCAGAAGACCGAAGGAAAGAGAGATGCAAGAGATAAAAAGAACAGAATAAAATCACTACTACAAAGAGGTAGAAACAACATTCACACTCATACAAAAACAAGATGAAACAATGGAGAAAAAGAAAACAAAATAAAACTATAGCAACAACAAAAAACAAATGAGAGAAAGCAAAGTCCACTTCCAGGTTTGTCTCTGCTATCACTGGACAACATGTGGAAACAGAGTCCTGATCCTGGTCGATCTACCCCAGCAAGCCAGCAGCAGCTTTTTGGCAGAGTAGTGGATAACCTCAGGATGCCTGCACCTAGCCAAGACCAGACTCATTTAGTGCGCAGCCATCAGTGCACCTTCCGTGGACCTGAGCCTCGCTGGGAACTCCTAGATGGATTTGGCAGCTGCTCTGAGTTTAAGCATCTCTAAGATGGTTCCCAGCCCATCACTCTCTCATGTGGGACCGAGCCATCACTGACAACTAGTGCAGTCCTTCACATCCACTGCTCCCCTCCACTGCTGCATCTCTCCATGGAGGCCTCTGGGGTCACCAGCAGTCACATGTGTCTGCAGGTTTGAACCACTCCTCTCACGCAGAGTCCCATCTCAGAGAGAAGGCACCACCAGCTACCTCCTTCTTCTTCATTGAAGCTTCTCTCTTCACTCTCACCACAGGCTTCAATTCTCACTTCAGATTCTTCCTGGGTCCAGGGAACTCACCTCCCTCCTTGTCTTCCTCATGTTGCTATAGTCCAGCATCTGGATAGTGCCAGAGACGCTATCTGCTATTTACTACTCTTTCATCTTCTTGAGTCTCTGAGTCATCAAATTTAAAGTGGTAACTGCAGTTCCCTCCCTGGAGGAAGGCCTTGGCTCCTGCACCTCAGACTGCTCACTTTCCCCTTTGGGGGAACTCCAGAAAACAGGAAAAGAGAGGGCATTAAGTCACACAGAACATCTACCCAGATCATGTCACCAGCCTTTTTTCTACATTAAGTAGAATTCTTTCACCATTTTCCTTAAAAGAAAGCACTTCATGGCTTTTTTTCTTTTGTATACCCAAATGGCCAGCATCACTATTCTTGTGGTTTCAGCCTTTATTAAGCAAAAGAAGGGTTACATGAATACAAACACTGTGACAGTATAACCCCTAAGTGACCACAAGGCAGTCACTGTTCACGGTGCAGTTGCACAAGACAAGGGGATGACTAGCATCCAGGGAGGATGGTATGGAACAAAGCAGGAGACTGAGCAAGACCACACAGGGCAGTGGAAGACCTCATCCAGCTATCAGAACAGTACACAGTTTTAAAACATATGAATGCTTATTTCTGGAATTCATCATTTAGTATTTCAGACCTCAGGCAACTGAAAATGGGAAAAGCAAAATTATAGATAATAGGAGGACTACCGTACTACAGAATGACCAAGAGAAAGAGAAGCCAAGTAGTAATAACCACTAAATACTTGTAGTTAATAAAAAGTCTCTAGTCTCTGATGCAGATGCAGAATCCCAGTGTGTACACTGTAGACTCCCAGTCCTTACCTTCCAAAGATCCTCTCCTATGGTAAAGAGATCTGTCTCATATCTTCAGCCCTGCTTCATGCCTGCGTTCACCAGAGGAGCATGTCAGAAGAGAGAAAGCACTAGAATAACACTGGCAACTCCAGTGGAGTCTTCTTTCCTGCCCTTGTGAAAAATAATTTGATCTGAACCTTGGTTGCCACAACTTTCAAAATGACATTAATACCTATATCCCCTTATTTTTCAGAGGTGACTAGAGTATCAAACTATATGTGTGACCTGGGACCTTGCTGCTTCTACTGAGGAAGGCTCAGTATAGCCATGGTATTATTGTTCATGCCAGTAACAAAACACATATACCACAGAACACTGGAAGAACTCAACTTTATTAAGGTTTCAAGCTACTTCAGCATGTTAACCACACACAGAAATGAACAGCTGTTAGATGCCCTGTACTACTCATGCTGACAGACACTGGTGGGCGACAGGTATGATGTTTGTCTGCTACATCCATGTGTAACACTTCACACATGCTTAGGCTCAAAGGTCCCATACTCTATAGACACTTTACTTTCACTTAGTATATCATAAACTGGGATGAGTTACCCTAGAGGAAATAAAACATAACTTATAAACCTAAAAATATTCAGGAACCATGATTGTTTCCTGTGACCTAAGAAACCTTAAACCCTTCAGAACCCCCAGAAGTGGTTTCTAGAATTTCCAAGCAGAGATACTTTCCCTTACCAAGGTAAGCCATAGTAATCTAGGAAAAATTCTGGAGTGATGGAGTATGAAACATATGTGGCTGTGCATAGCACAATTTATCCAAGAGGAAAACCACAAAGCAGTATTACTCTGCAGCAAAAATAAGTCCTGGAAGCAGCAAGATAAAACTAGCCTCAAAAAGCACAAGTATTTGGAAATGGGGCTTCAGAGACAAGTTCTACATTTTGGAGAACACAGCTCTTCCTTTCTCTCCACACACAATGTGGAGCACAGTATCACACCCTAAGCTATAACTCAAAAATAATAAAACCCCAAAACCTGTCTTTTACCTAGATATTAAAATGAGTAATTAAGGGGCTGGGGATTTAGCTCAGCGGCAAAAGCGCCTGCCTGGCAAGCACAAGGTCGTGAGTTCGGTTCCCAGTACCGGAGAAAAACCAAAAAAAAGCCAAAAAAAAACCCCAAAGTTGAAAAATCTGTCAGATTAA